GAACAGTTTTTTTTTTTTTTTTTTTTTGAGATCTCCTAGCCCAAGTCTAATTTACTAAAAATTTGAAGAAAATTGTGGATACAGTCCGAACTCAGAAGTTAGAAGCATGTGATAGATTTACACTTTGTTCTTGAAGGTCTTCGCCACTGAGCAGAATCCTTAGGTTTTTCTATTACCACCAAGCAAATCATGGTACAGAGTGTTGGCCTGAGTTGGTCAGCCATATAACTAACCACTTGTCCACTTCTACCTAATTCATATGTAAAATATACGAAAGGAATATCAACGTCTATCTGTGAAAACCTGTTTTCTTTAATGGTAGACAATATCAAAATATGTTCTTTTGAATACTCTTCGTGTCTTCCACCTCCTTTTTCCTATATAGACCAAGCACAGTTTTTCTCGATCAAGATTACGTGATCAACTTTCTTAGATAGAGAACACTTTTCTCGTCATTTCTACGAGGTTTCCTGAGTATCACAGGAATGACAAGTCAAAGGAATGAAATGGGAGCAGTCTTGATTGTGCTGGCGATGATCTGGGCAGGAGTAACTGCTCAAGAAAGCGATGACTGCACGAACGTATTGGTCAGCATGTTACCTTGCATGACCTACATTACAGGGAACTCCTCGCCACAATTCTCAGGTTGCTGCGCGCAGCTTAGCACCGTGGTGGATAAAAGGCCAGAATGCTTGTGTCAGGTCCTCAATGGGGGCGACTCCAACATGGGACTCAATATTAACCAGACTCAGGCTTTGGCACTCACTACTGCTTGCAAAGTTCCGACTCCACCTGCTAGCCGCTGCAATGGTAAGAAGAAGTTTCATTCTAAAGTTCAGACACACAAAGCATACAATCCTGACACTGCTCCCTAAGAACAGTTGGTTCACCAATTGGCTCTCCTGCTGGACCACCAAATTCTCTATGCACTAGCTACACTAGTTTTTTTTTTTTTTTCTTTTTTTCTTTTTAAATAATTCTGCCACTACTTCAAGAAAGTCAAATTTTGGTTTTACAAAATGCTTAACATAATGCGATCAACAATGTTGACAGGACGGGGGTCTAATTCAGTGCCGTCATCACAAGGTGGTTCCGACGATGCAACTTCAACCAATATGGCAGCTCCTCTTTCTTTATGCTTTCTCTTTATTGCTTCCTACGCTTCAATAATCAACATGGCCTGACTTTGTTTACCTTCCATACACTTCCAATGTCTTTTATCTATTGTATACTTGATGGTTAGCTAACCTGTCTGTCTGTTACGGAAGAGTGCTTTTACTTTTTAAACATTAGCTCATATCAGCATTCAGCAATCAGCTTTCTACCAGGGTAATTCGCCATTGTATCGTATATTCTTTCGTCAAGCAATATTATTAATATATATTCTACAATCTTTGGTGCGCATTAGTTGGATCCATTCAGGTGAATAGTCTATCGTTTAACTAATCTTTCGAATATTCTTTCTTGGCCCGGAAGGACGCAAGGAGGGGAACTGCAGCAGGGAGTGTAAAGAAAGCGTAGCTATCACCTGCTTGCATCTTGCTATCAAGAAAGCAATTTGCAAACACCCAGAAAAAAGCCTCACTTTCAAAGAAATTAATAAATTAAAAAAGAACTAGTAAAATAATTTCTGTTGGCCTACAAGAAAGGTATACCTACACAGGATTCACACGTCTAGAACAAAGGGTGCATATATCCCAATAGAAGACCTCGTAGAACCTACAAAGGAGGATATTCATCTGACGCAACTGTATTCCCATTATAGGCTCACAAGTCTATTGTGTTTTGTCGAGTCTTCACTGTCCAGTTTTGTAGGCCACTTGTCATCTACTTTCACCTGGTGCAACCAAGATCAAGATATCATGTTACTTGAAGCATTCTAGTGTTACAAAATATACTTGACCATTAAAATGTTGTACTACAAAAGAAAAACAATGAAAAACAACGAAAATAGCTATGAATCAGCTTAACGCTGCATTACTCTTAAACACAGGAAAAAGTCGCACGAATTCTTGTAACAATCTACTTTTACTGATTAAACTTTGGCATTAATGTCACAACTCACTCCTCCGCGCTGGAACTAGCAGCAGAGTGACGTGACAGAATCTTTTTGTTGGGCATGACTAACAGGGGTAAAAGGGTGGACTCGGACGAAAAGATGTCCCATCTTATTCAATCTCTTATTGGAAATGGTAGGGGAAACAGGAAAATTAGACTTTCATGCTTCCTCCATCACCTATAACCATGGTTATGACCAATTCTCCGTATATGGGAGTCACTATCCTTGCTGGACATTTACCGTACTAACCAGAAACATGGACTACATTCCATGACACATTTCCTTCACAAAAATTAAAAATGAGAAAAGGAATTCTATCCATTTTTAGTTCATGCAATATATGAAACGAATTGCATCCTCACCACCTTCATCCCTTTTTCTGATAAATATCCCTGGCCCCATCTTATTATCCACCAGGTAAGTTTTCCTTAAGTAGACAAAAAGTAGCTTATTCCAAACTAAACCTACTACGGCTGTAAACAAAATTTAAATGACGGTATTATGGCACTATCAGAACTCGCCAAATAAGCAAAGATTCATCTAAAGCCAGTAAAATTGATTCTTCTTTCCTTTATGTAAAAATGCCATTTTTTCAAGTGTATATTCTTTTTAAATGTTTGGGAATTTACAAGTAGAGTATAAAACCACAAAGTACGCATTGAGGAGGCCTAAGAAAGAACATTTCACTTCATCCAAAATATCAGAGTAACTTCCAACATAACCTCCAATTTCTGAATGAGAAATGGCATAAATCAAAGAAGAGAATAACTGGAGCTATAGCACCATGACTGTCCTTTTTTACCCCAGAAAAACAACAGTACTACTCATGGCAACAATGGGTGGAACGTACACGAACCTACTCGCATACAGGCAGATGAAAGCGAATATGCCAGTTTGACGAAAGAAAGCCATATTGCTACAGCTCTGACATAATATTTATTCTTCTCGCGACCTCAACCTTAAAGATCTAGGCTAAGACCTCATCACAGCATGTTCCCTCTCGCTGGTGCCAAATTGTAATAAATCATCAATCAAAATCTCACCCATTAAAGACCTAGAATGCGATGTACCAATAAAATCAAAATGATGTCTCAGTGAGACCACTCTTTTACATGCCGGAAACTACTACAGCCAATTCTCAATCCCAAACTAGTATGGAATCCTCTATATCCATCATGCTCCATTTAAAAAGTAACTCTTATATTTATCTCCGTTGATTGGGAAACAAGAATCATTTCAGATGACAAAGAGGCCAATGATACATTTGGACCTAACTGAAATCAGCACATGGCGCAAGGTAAATATGGCTTACCATAAAGGAGATAGTTAATTTCCTACTGTACAGAAATGACTAAAAGAGCAGTCTTGTGCACTAAGCTCCCGCTATGTGCGGGGTCCGGGGAAGGGCCGGACCACAAGGGTCTATTGTACCCGGCCTTACCCTGCATTTTTGCAAGAGGCTGTTTCCACGGCCTGAGCCCGTGACCTCCTGGTCACATGGAGGCAACTTACCAGTTACGCCAAGGATCCCCTTTTGTACGGAAATGACTAAGAAAATAATACAAGTTCCAAACATCTTTAATTCAAAGATACTAATAAAACACAGTCAACTATCCAAAACCAGCATAACTATTAGAAAGAGTTTAATAGCATTTTAGAGCATCAAAACCTCCTTAGACTCGAACCTTCAACCGGATAAATATAATCGTAATATTCAAAGGAAGCAAAATACCAATCATTTAGCTTCTCAAATTTGAAAAGATTAGGTTAATCAAGTTGTTTTTTTGAGCAAGGGTTAATCAAGTTGTCTACCTAGAGCCTCAACATGCATCAATGTGAGCGAGACCTCATAAATTCTTCAAGTTTCTCCCACACCTCAAGTGCTGCAGCTCTGTCCTGGTGACGTTTGTTTTTACTTATCTGCAAATTCAATTGACAGTATTTGGTAAGACAACAACCATACAAAATAATATGCAAAATTGTCGTCATAGCATATAATTGACAGTTTTAAGGATAAGGACTAAATGGACAATCATTAATGTGCTAACCGAAATAATCTTGACATTCCATTGCTTTGCGGTCTTCGCTGACTCCACGCTATCATCCTCAAAACGCAAGAAAAATCCTACAACTGCAACAATGGCCAGGAAATGGATATTGCATTAAGTATAAAATCTAACTTCAGATTCTAAGTAAAAATTAACCCCAAAAACAATCACTACTTTTTAGTCTTAGCAAGATTCCTCTGATCTGTTTCAGAACTACTGTTGCAAGAAGCTATCATCATTTTGCAAACAATTTGGCAATAATTCAGCTGCACATAATCATTCAAAACTTACTCTTGTTAAAGATCTCAACATGATTCTTAAAGGGCCAATCTTTGAACTGCCATTCTTTCCCCAACACGAAAACCGCCACCACACGATCCCAATCCTCCGCCTTCAGTGCAGAAGGCTTATCCCTCACCTCATAGGCTGTAACTACCCTATCCCTACTAAACTTCTTCTGCACCGTTATACAATCCGGTTTCGTCCCCTTCATCTGCTTCAATTTCACATCAGTTGGTATAAAGACCCCATCCTCCAAAAACTCCTTCACATTATAAATAGTAATCAAAGTCGAAAACGCACTGGGAACCAAAATGATCGGAACACCCTCCCCTATCTTGCTTCCCTTCAAATGCATTTTCGCCTTGGGCCCACCATCATACCCTAATTCATCACCACCGCCAAACCCCGCTCTCTCTATCCGATTCTTCGCTACCAAACCGTCTTTTCTCTGCAAAGACTCTGCCCGCTGCCGCTCCTCATCTCTACGCAACGCCGCCGTAAAAACACTGTAAAAATCCCGGTTCTTACACATCAAAATCGACTCCCTATCCTTCAAAGGCTTCTCTGCAGCTCTAATCAGCTCAATCGGGTTTCGATTTTCCAAAACCCTAACGTCCGTTAAAAAATTGTCATCGTTACCAAGACCAGCAGCAGAAACAGAAATAGGAACCGTAGTTTCATTGGGCTGAGGGAATTTGAGGAATTCAATGGAGTCGGACGAGGCAGTTTTTCCGGTGAGATAATCGAGGAGGGGTTTACGATCAGGGAGAGTGACGGCGGGGATACGAAGGGAGCGTGATTGCTGGATGTAATCGGTGTGTTTGAGGTGGTGATTGGTGATGAAGTTGATTAGGGTTTCGAGAGTGTAGCGATTGGCTTGCACGTGCTTAGAGCGGTAAGCTGTTTCGATGGTGCAGGGGAAAGAGTAGTCGTTGCCGAAACGGTAGTCGTCGCCGATACGGACGATTTTGTGGAGCTCGTTTCGGATGGTGTACTCCCGGAGGAGGGTGAGGGGATCCATTGGAGAGATTGTCTGAAAGGTGGAAAGTTTTGTCTCACTTTTGGACTCAACTTATTAATGTGTTTTTACTGTTGAACTTGTTCTGTTGTTCATAGCTAAAATCTTGTGGCCTAACTAGAGAAGAGATTTCCCCCCTTTTTTAAGTAGGTTTTGGTCGACGAAAAAAGTAGGTTCGTCTTGACTATCAAGCGTCCTTCAGGCAAGATATGTTATATGAGGACAGAGGACAATTACATATTGTTGAGTATTCTGATGTGAACGCAACAAGAAATTTTTCCCAAAAAAATAACCTCGGAATAGTAGTATTAATTCGATGAAATTTAATATCTTCAAAAAGCACAAATAATTTGGACATGGTGATCAAATGCATAAGTAGAGTATGGAGCCAATGGCTTTAGCTATGCAAGCTTATATGGTTAAAGCAACTTAATAAAGAGTTTAAGTTTGGAGGAGATGGACATGAAACTAATTTAAGTCAACTGGGTTGCACTATGCTTTAACTGGGGCATTTGCATCTATACCTGTTTTTTGGGTCACGTTTTAACTTGTGCCCGTTTTACAAAAAAAATTGCAAGCGTACCCACTTTTTCGCGTAACTTCAGCATACGGGGCTGAAGTAGCAAAGGCAATCACGCAAAACTTCAGCATTCTAGTAGACGGGCATGAAGTAGCAAGTGTGCTGAAGTTTTGGTTTGTAAATGCTGAACTTAAGCATAGTAGCTGAAGTTTTGTTCTCTATTTGCTGAAGTTTTTGTTTGTAATTGCTGAACTTAAGCATAGTTGCTGAAGTTTTGTTCTCTATTTGCTGAAGTTTTTGTTTGTAATTGCTGAACTTAAGCATAGTTGCTGAAGTTTTGTTCTCTATTTGCTGAAGTTTTTGTTTGTAATTGCACTAAAATAGCTGAAGTTTTTTTTGTCCTGGATTCATTAGTTTTGTCATTAAGCTTTTTCAAAAACTTCAGCAGAAGATGTTGAAGTTATTTAGTTCATTTATAAAAACATCAGCACTAAATAAGCTAAAGTCTTTTTGTCCTGGATAAGCTTTTTCAAAAACTTCAGCAGAAGATGCTGAGGTTATTTAATTCATTTGTAAAAAGTTCAGCACTAAATAAGCTGAAGTTTTTTTTGTCCTGGATTCATTAGTTTTGTTATAATCAGACTACTATAAAATAATCAGATTGCCAACAATATCTAAATCATAAAATTCGGAAACAAATAAACGTGAAAAGAACAGAATTATCATGAAAAGATCATTAAGTGTGACCTTAAACTTCCCGTACGTGGAAATATTCACAAATTATCGTCTACTAACTTACGTAATTATTTATAATTTGTTTTCAAATAATCTGATAAACATACTTATGGCAATCATCCCATGAACTGAAGTTTCATAGCAGCACCAACAGCAGCAGAAGAAAGAAGAAGAAGAAGAAGAAGAAGAAGAAGAAGAAGAAGAAGAAGAAGAAGAAGAAGAAGAAGAAGAAGAAGAAGAAGAAAACGAAGGAGGAGGAGAAAGGGGGCTGAAGTTGTTTAAAAAGTGGGTACAAGTTAAAACTTTTAAAAAAAATGGGTATAGGCTAAATGAGAGCGACCAAATAGGACGCCCCGTGCAATTTTTACGCTTTAACTATGATGCTGTATGAATTTCTATCACTTTTCATTTACAATAATGTACAAATTTAAAGTAAAAATACAAATTAAAGAGCATTAGAAATTTACTCACATGACTAAAACATAATCCCAACTAACTGATACTGTCTACATAAATTTCTCATCCATTATGCTCTTGTAGCTGTTAACTCTTAACTTCTAAAATTCAGGTTCTATATAGGTGGGGGAGATTTTTCGTATACCATACCTATTACCTATAGCGCGACTGTCTTAGGTCTCGTTTGTTTGCACTTAATGGAGGTCTGAATCTTAATCATTCAGATCTCAAATATTAAGTGCGTTTGTTTTTAATGTCTGAATCTTAATTATTCCGATCTTAACCATTAAGTATGTTTTATTTTTTTTTACTTCACAACCACTTAATGGGTCTGAATAGGCTTGTATGATTAAGATCTATAACAGAGACTTAATTTCATTAAGATGTTATCATCCATATTCATTATTAACTGCCGCCACCACCTACCATTATCAACTACTACCATACCGCTGCCACTGCCACCACCACCATTGTAACGACCTGGCCGGTCGTTTTAAGAATTAACGCCCCGATCCCATATCAACTGCTTTCCCCGTGTTTGTTTCTGCTATTGTGAGTTTTCGGGAAGATTCATTTTGAGTTTCGGAGTATTTTGGACACTTAGTCCCTAAAGGAGAGCTTAAGCTTTAGAATTTGGACCATAGTTGGAGCAGTGTGAAGACGGACTCAGAATGGATTTCTGTCGATTCCGCTAGCTCCGTTGAGTGATTTCGGGCTTAGGGGCGTGTTCGAATTGTGTTTTGGAGGTCCGTAGCTTATTTAGGCTTGAAATGCCAAAAATTGAATTTTTGAAGTTTCCGGTTCAATAATGAGATTTTGATATCGGGGTCGGAATCTGATTCCGAAAGTTAGAACAACTCCATAGTGTTGAATGTGACGTCTGTGAAAAATTTGGGGTCAGTCGGACTTGGTTTGGTTGGTTTCGGCATCGGTTGTAGGTTTCTTGAAATTTCAAGTTCTTTAGGTATGGATTGGAGGGTGATTCGTGGTTTTAGCGTTATTTGATGTGATTCGAGGGTTGAACTAAGTTCGTATGATGTTTTAGGGTTGGTTGGCATGTTTGGTTGAGGTTCCGGGGGCCTCGGGTGAGTTTCAGATGCTTAACAGAGGTGATTGTGGACTTAGGCAAAATCTGAAGGCTGCTGCTTATGGTATTTTCGCACCTGCGGTGAAGAGCCCGCAGGTGCAGGCCGCATGTGCGATGGAGTGAGTCGCAGGTGCGATTCTGGCACTGTTGGCCAGTGACCGCAGATGCGGTTATTGGACCGCAGAAAGTGGCCGCATCTAAGGAGAAGGCAGCACAGGTGCGGGCTATGACCGTTAAATGAAAACTCGCAAATGCGAGTCCCCAGCCGCAGAAGCGGGACCGCAGGTGCGGTCCCATGGTCGCACAAGCAGAAATCGCTGCGCAGAAGTATGAAAAATCGAGGGTTTGAGTTCATAACTTGGAAAATCAATTTGGAGCTCGAGGTAAGGCGATTTTGGGAGGATTTTGAAGAGGAAATCAGTGGGTAACGATTCCTTAACCCTGTCTAGTTGTATTCCATCAATCTAATCTTGGTTTTGTCATTTAATTTCGGATTTGGGGTGAAAAATTGATAGAAAAATGGAAAAGTTCCCCAACCAAGTTTTTGGGTTTTAGTGGTCGGATTTGATGATTTTGGTACGAGTGAACTCATGAGTGAATGGGGGTTCATAATCCGTAACTTATACCTGATTCCGAGACGTGGGCCCGGGGAGGATTTTTGGGCATTTTTCTATTTTCTTGACTTAGCTTCGATTTCATTAGTCAAATTAGTTACTTGAAGTTATATTTAGATTATGCAATTAATTTGAATAGATTTGGGCCATTTGGAGTAGGGTACTCGTGGCAAGAACGTGATTTCGAGTTGATTTGACCTGGTTCGAGGTAAGTGGCTTGCCTAACCTTGTGTGGGGGAACTCCCCTTTAGGATTTTGGCTCTGTTGTTATATGAGTGTCGTGTACGTGAGGTGACGAGTGCGTACACGTGCTAATTGTTGAAAACCCCTGTTTTTTTATTAAGTAAATATCTACGCTTCCATTTTGTTGAACACCTACTTGTATTTAAAGCCTACTGCTTAGCTTAGGAAAGCATGCTTAAGTGACTTAAGTGTACTATCTACTTAAACTGTCTACTTGAATTCTATGCAGCATGTTTAGAATAGAAATCTCTGCTTTTCTTGTTATGGACTTGAATAGAACTATAGATTCCTTCTTGAGACAGTTGTGTGTTTACTTTGGGACTACGGATCGGTATTCCGGTAGATCTCCCTGCATGTTTACTTTGGGACTACGGATCGGTATTCCGGTAGATCCCCCTACACATTTATATTTGGGACTACGGCACAACACCCGGTAGATTCCCCTGTACTGGATAATTTACTTTGGGACTACGGATTGGTATTCCGGGAGTTTTCCCCTGCATATTTATGATTCGGACTACGAGACGATATCCCGGGAGATCCTCTGTACATTTACGTTTGGGACTACGGGACGATATCCTGGGAGATCCCCTGTTGCTATCTCTGTGTACAGAGCATATTCTGCCTGTGATTTTACTCTTTATCAACTGTTAGTGTCTCTAATTATACTGTCGCACTTCATATTGTTTTACCTCATATATATATATATATATATATATATATATATATATATATATATATATATATATATATATATATAACCAGTAGGGCCCTGACCTTCCTCATCACTACTCGACCGAGGTTAGGCTTGGCACTTACTGGGTACCACTGTGGTGTACTCATGCCCTTTCCTGCACATGTTTTTCGTGTGCAGATCCAGGTTCTTCGGCTCAGAGACTTCGACGTATATCTGCCGCGTCCGCAGACCGAGGAGTCCCTCTCTATTCCCTTTTTTAGCTATAGACCTTGTGTACTTACTTTGTGTAGACTTTTGTAGTACAACATTTCGTATTTCCTCTAGTTTGTGATTCATGAGATTCCAGGTTTCAGGAAGTTGTTTTCAGTATTGTGAGCATCTATTGTATATGCCGAGCGGCATTTCTTAACTCTTTATTTATACTTTTACTCGAAATTTGCCAGTTTTGTATTTTATATCTTTTTTCCGCAATTGCTTAGGCTTACCTAGTCGTAGGGACTAGGTGCCATCACGACAGTTCTCGGAGGGAGAACTAGGGTCGTGATAAGTTGGTGTCAGAGCTCTAGGTTCATAGGAGTCATGAATCACAAGCCGGTTTATTAGAGTCTCGCGGATCGGTACGGAGACGTTTGTACTTATCTACGAGAGGCTATGTAACTGTTAGGAACATTCCACTTCATTTGATTTCCTTGTCGTGCAAGATTTTTGGTATCGAAATTCTAAACTTCTGTCTTCTATTCTCCCACAGATGGTGAGGACACGTGCTACCGGAGATGATCAGGCACTTGTGCCCCCTGCTAGAGCCGCAGAGGTCGGGGCCGGGGTGGAGGCCGAGGACGCGCACGTGGT